CGACAAAGCTTGCAACAGACATCCACAGATCACTACCACAGCGTACTGAGGAATTCCACTGCTAATGAGAGTCACGCTATTCCTTGAAGAATCTTCCAAAAAACCTGTATCATATAAACAAAGAACCGTCAGCAGGACCGATGTATCCCACACCAATCAAAATGACATCCACCAGCGTCCACACACCAAATCCTCCAAAACTGAACAGTTTGCCGATCGCACTTTTCCACATGCCAAGATAAAAACGATCAGCACCAAAACCACCCAGTGTTATCGAAAGAAACATCGCCTTCCACCAACTGTATCCTGAAGACCAGCTGCACCTGCAAGCAGACAACACATCGGCAAGATAGATCTGCTTATTTACAAACATTACTCCATAAAATAGCCTCTACTGAATCACCATCCTGCCAAACATTCCAGATAAGACAAAAAAGAAACAGTGGCATGACTTGGGCAATAAAAAGACATCAACGCACATCAGTTCTAACACCCCGCATGAACATCACATTTTCTCTGGAGATGCCTTATTTTGCTTTTGTGCTTTCTTCAAATATGAAATCTGAATTTTGGATTTTTTTTCGAACTTTTGCCCACATCGGCAAGGTAGATCTGCTTATTTACAAACATTATTCCATAAAACGAAAAATTTTCGAACTTTTACTGCAAAATGCCTGTGGCACTTAAATCCCGCGAATTTTCGATTCAGATTTACAAAATCCATTCATTTTTTTATTTATCCTTCCTGGAAAGATGAACGCCTGCCCTTTCTCCCACTATTTTCTCATCCTATATTCAGTAGTAATATTAAGCCGTTGTTTTGTTAAAAAAGTAACATAGCCAAAGAGCGTAAAAGCTAGGAGCAGCAACAATTCACCTTTCAAAGTATGGCACTGGTACTAAAGACAACATGACCAAAAGAACACGTAAAACAGAGCTGAAAATTTTCGTAGTACTTTTTGTCGTTTATTGGCTAATACATACCTAACATTTTTATAGAAAGCACGTCGACCTTTGCATGTGACCCATTGGTGCACATGGCACGTTGTGCGGAAAAGTCGCACAGCTACGGTTGAACAGTTCCGCACCTGCAACATAAATGAGATATATGGCTTTCAGCCCCTCGGATACAGGATAATTCCAACAGTAGAATTCGTGCTTATCGGTAGGCCTTTCCTGAGTTGCTAGTTCACATTTCAACACTTCATACTTTTTATGCGTTTTTTTTTTTTGCAGCTATGCTAGCTCGAGAACCTGAAATAGTAGAAGACTGTAATTTTAACGGGGTGTTCTACGCCCAGGTAGATATTAATGTGTTCAAAAACAGTCCTCGGATATGCGTGGTACCCATGCACGGGAATGGCAAAGTTTTTTTCGGGTAAGTTCCTAACTCGAGGACTTGAAAAGCTAGAAGACTGGAGTTTTAAGGGAGGGTTCCCCGTCCAAGTAGGTATTAATGTGTTCAAAACTAGCCCTCAGTTATGCGCGATACCCACGCACGGGGCAGGCAGCGTTTTTTCGGGTAGATTCCTAGTTCGGAAACCAGAAAAGCTAGATGATTGGAATTTTAAGGGGGTGTTTCCCACCCATGTAGGTGTTAAAGGACTTAAAACCAGCCCCCGGTTGTGCGTGGTTCTCAAGTACGGGTCTATAAAATTTTTTTTCGAGCAAGCTGCTACTCGGAAACCTGAGAAGCTAGAGGACTAGAATTTTAAGGGGATGTTCCCCATCTCAGCGGGCATTAAAGGGCTCAAACCCAGACATTAGGTATACGTGGTACCCAAGTACAGGCCCCTAAAATTTTTTTCGGATAAGTTGCTAACTTGGGAACCTGGGAAGCTAGAGGACTGGAATTTTAAGGGGATGTTCCTCATTCAAGCAGGTGTTAACGAGCTCAAACCCAGACACCGGGTGTATCTGGTACCCACGTATGGGCTTGCCAAGGTTTTTTTCAGGTAAGTTGCTAACTCGGGAAACTGAAAAGTTAGAAAGCTGAGATTTTAAGAGTGCCTCCTGACAGTTCTGGCGGCCAGTCTCAATTTGTTTAGCTAGAAGCATTTGCCGGAAGAATCGGTGCGGTAGCGAGAAAAACAGCGGAGAACTATGCAAAAAACGCATTTTCACACGGGCAGCCCATGCGTTAGCCCATTATTTTTTTGGTTAACCGCGTTTACCGCTACACATCTTGATACAATTGACAACCCGTCTCTAGGTGCTTTAACTCAAAATTAATTCACTTGGTGGTCCTAGTAGGTAACCCAATGTTCTGCTTGCATTCTTTGCTCTTTTGGAAAGAGATACTTCAAGTAAACTATTCTTCTGCAGGCTTCTGTGGTCCTTCATATCATCTACTAGCTTCCCCCCTACGGTCCCTTATGAATACCGTTACACTTTTTCATGAATGAATGTGGCAGAAATTAGCCGTACGGCAGTTTAAATTTATTGCTCAGCTACAGTTAGGCAAATGTTAGTGCAAGCATTACCGGTGCGCAGTGGTGTTCTGTGACATCCGTTTGCCAGCAGTATCGGCATTTTGCTTCTTTCTGTACTGTATATTGTCCAGCGCAATGCCTCTTCGTAGTACAGTTTAGTATCACTGAAGATCCATATTCACATTCGGGAAATTTACAATCCAAGCACGACCCGTACAACGGACAATCCGCCTTGGTACAACTTAAATTAAAAGATGTCAATATGAATGAAACGAGTATTTTTCTCAACAACTGCAATGCTGACTAAAATAGGATCGATAGAGATGCCAATTACGACACTAACGAACACAAAAACCAGTGCCTTTAAAGGCAGCATAAATTTCTAAACTAAAGCTGCCCAGACCGCTAAGTGCCATGCTTTAATTTTATTAGAAGCAGCCACACGTCAAGAACAAATACGCTAAGTCCTTCGACCTTGAGCTGCGCATCTACTACGTCAGCACTAAGTATCTGCGTGATCTCTTCAGAAACCGTCCAAAAAATCCGTTTCTTTTTCACAAGAGTCTCTTCCTGATTGCCATTTATAATTAAAACAAGTAGCATTTGCCACACAGTGAACATAACTTTTGCCCGTAACAACTCCCTGGCTTCAGATGGAGTGTTTGATCTTATAATATGCATATGGAATTGATGTTACCATTTTAGCATTAAATGATAAAGAGAAAATGATGAAGTAGAAAAGATGAAAAAGGGAAGAAAAACGAAGAAAAAAGCGAAGTAAGGAAGGGAAAGGGGAGTCTACAAATATTTGTAATAGGTAAGAAACGTTACGGTCCATTAAGACGTATACATTTCTTACCGTTACCACAATTGGAGCTTGTCAGTACGACTACTGTGGTAACAAAATAATTTAGATGGTTTAGTGCAATATAGAAATTATTAATGTAAAAACAGACAAGAAAGAGGAGAAATAGAAGACGAAAAATGAAGAAATCGAAGAAAGATAAGCATAAACATACACACAAACAAACAATCGGCGTCTCTATAATATGCGTTTTGTGTAACTGTTACAGCGCAAATGACAGAACCCAGTGAGTTAAAATTTTATGAAAATGATAAACAGTTAATTATCGGCTTACGCCCTTCTACATCCAGACTGTAAAAACACTTAGCACTGTCCCAAAGGAGTCGACGTATGCAACAGCATATTATAAATCTCTACTTGCAACTATAGCGCTTATTATTATCTAATGAATATCTCAAACGGTCAGGAAGACACAGACCTTCACCGGTATGTTTCGCTTTCTGGCTCAGCAACAACTCATCGCAAATTATACAGCTGTAATGTCTTTCCTCGGTAAACGTCGCTTCTTCCCAGCACAATTTCCCTTCTACTTGTTCATGATATAATTCACACTTTTACTCGTTACAGTTGAAACCCTTTTCGGCCACTTAATTTGCAAGACACTTACAAGGAATCATCATCTCTTGGCGGCTTCTCGTCGACTTTCTCCTGGTCACCTGCCGACGCTGCAGCTGTGCAAGCGAACAATATCAAGCAAACCGCAATCATTTCTTACGTAGCCACATGAATGTTCGAACAATCTGCTGCATTGAGTACACCTCCACTTGTCTAAAAAGTATATCTCGTAAAAAAACTGCTCATTCCCCTTTTTTTTGCATCTTGTTACCCTGCAAAATACATCGAGTGTTTCGTAGCACAGATTTTGAAAGTAGAACAGCTAGTTTTTACGAAAATCTGCGACCCAGTCTCTCTAATTTATACCCCACTAATCCGCTGCACATTGTTTTACATTCTTTCGACAACTTCAGATTATAATGAAGGATCCCTAGTCATCATACCCCGTCCAAAGCCTTTGGAAAATCTGAAAACCAGCAACGAAAGCAATACTAGTGAAATATGAAAATGCGGAAATGTGAGGCCGGGGGATGTCCAATGAAAATGCAAGTTTTACCAGAATAAAACTCAATCCCGTCCCAATCATACGTAAAAGAAATTTTTTCTTGAATTACGCTCGCCTAAGTCTCTCTTTACAGTTGCAACCAGCATCTCATCAACAGATCACGCTAAGCGATCCCTAATGACCGCAATGCCAAATATTCTTATCATATCAGAACAGATATGGCACAGATAGACTCCGGGACAGGACAGGTAAAGACAAGAGAAAATAGCAAAAAGCTTTTTATTTCTGCTCGAACAAATACAATACATTTACTACCTACAAGAATACATTTCACATACGGGTGTTTCTTCACAGGTCGATGAAGAGATCGCGCAGCGGACGAATTCGGCTACAGGACGCAAATCAACTGGACTATTTTGACAAATAAATGAACTATTCACAAGCTCATCGTGTGTCCAGCGTCTTCTTTCATCCACAACCACACTGCAAATTAAGAAAGATAAATTGAAGTCATATTGATCCTCGTGTTGAGGCAGCACTGCAGGACTGAGAGCAAATAGAATAAGTATGCAAAATACACACGATATTCCCGGGTTGGAGGAGAAGTTTATTAAGCAAAAAGTGAAAACCTACATGATCCAAGACCGCGAGCATGCCCAACGGTATTGGGGGAAGGATAGAAAAAGACATAGAACACATGCCGCTTGCTATGTAAGGGAAGATAGGACTGCGAAAAGTGAAAAGAAAAACAAAACAGTGAAGGGGAGAAGAAAAATTACAGGCCATACCTAAATTCAAAGTAAAACCCCAATGTCGTTAACGGAAAATGAAGGAAAAAATAATTTCCACTGCCCTCAAACAAGAAACAATTCGTGCTCCAGATAACCTAATCAGCCTTTTTTTTCCACTGCAATCTAAACCACGACGCCGTATCAATCGTAGGATACGACTTTTCATTCTTAATCTAACTTACAACCATATCGTTTGTTTATTGCCATTCATGAAAAAAAAGACAAATCAAATTCAGGCATACCAGTTTTTTAGGATATCCAAAAAATCGCTGGAAAGGTCTTCTTCACCATCGATATAATTCATAACATCGAATTTTTCATCGAAAATATTCTGTACT